GGAGACATGATAGTTGTCTTCAAGTCTTTGAGAAGTTATGCCCTGGAATAGGTTTTAGTGCTGTCATTCTGTGCCCTGACAGAAACAGGAATGCTGAATGGGAAGGTTATAGAGAGGCAAATTTCATTTTGATCTAGGGAGAAGCTTCTTGTCAGAGCTATGTGAAGGTGAAATATGAGTACCTTGGAAGGTAGCATGTTCCCCATCTTTGGAGTTCCTCAAGCAAAGGCTGGATTACTACCTTTTCTTAGATACATTTGTAAAGCAGAGGCTTCTTACTCAAGTACTGGTTGGATAAATGGTCTATTAAGTTCCTTCTGAATTTGAGAGTCAGGGATTCTGTGGTAGAGACCCAGGCCAGGCATGGTTACACTGGGAAAAGGAGAGGGAATTAGAAGTCCCCAGATCCCAAGTAAATGAGGAATTTTATGTAGGCTGGTGAAGCTTAAGGAAAAAGTAAGAGAAAGAAAAGGAAGCCTTTAGTAAATGGTTGGTTGGGGGAAGCAGTGACTTACATTAAAAGCTAGTGACCTTAATATATGTCCCTCTGGACCCATCATTTCCCAAGAAATAGGTCTACAAGCTGTTGCTTTGCACTCGTGCTGAATGGGCTAGTAGTGGGAACAGGGGAGGATAAATAGCTTTCCTTTCTGACTCATTTGAGCCTCACCTTGAAATGACTAAGGCAGGTTAGCCTTTAGGCTAGTTTGTAGATTAGTATGATGTGAAGGGCAGCAACTAGGCCACCACACCACCATTTCCCCATCTCTCACTCTGCCCCCCCCCCCCAAGTTTGACTCCCATCTGCTCACATAAGCTTGAAATTCCTATAAGATAACTTAGGGCCTCTGATTCCACAAATAAACATTTTTAACAATGAAATTGTCAGTATATCTGGAATAACCAGATTAACTTTGTTATGAATGAGCTTCAAAGTGGAAAAGACCATTTCAAGTCCTCCTGTTTGGAGAGAGAGAATGGGAATCCAGAAGGCAGTAGAACTGCTGCAGCTGAATGAGGGGCATGGGGAATGAGAAGGAGAAAGTGAGTAATAGAGGAGCTGGTGACCCAGGACACAAACATCACAATTTTGTCCCTGGCAAGGATTGTTTCTCTTTCTCTATGTGCTTAGTATTTCATGGTCTAGGCATAGAATAGTTCCCTTAGCAGGAGCTTCAGTCATCTGCCACTGTGGTTTTTAGTAATATTGAATTTTTTAATTCTGTGTCTTTCTTACCTGGTAGGCACTACTGCTTCTAAGGAAATAAAGGGAGGAAAGTGTATCCCAAATATTAATGCAATGTTTTAAGAGCCATATTTAATGGGCTAACTTTCTGGATGGTTATATTTTACTGACCTTTTAAACAATTCTACTCCTTTATTTGACCTAAATGTATAGTAGTGCCAGAGGTAACTAGAAGGTATTATAATTTCATAAGTGCATAGGTGCTTTTGAGCTTAGGTCATGGTGGGTCATTACTTATCCTTTTGTGAATCTTACAAGTCTCTTGTTTTCCTCCTGCATCTATGTTGTTATGTAGTCCTATTCTTACTAACTAGTAGATGGGTATTAGTTGTGTGTGGGGGGAGGGGATTAACATAGCAACAGAGTTTCATAGTAACTTCATTACTATGTTAGAGCAATCTGAAGAATAAAGAATGACTTCTGACTTCCTCTTCCTGCCCTTTTTCTTTCTTTTTTTAAAAAATACCCCCCCCCCAACCTCCACAGCGGTCATTGATTTTCTCTCTTTTCCACTTCCCTCTCCCAGAAAACTCGTGTAACACAAATATTCTTGTTCTTCTTAGCCACCCATGGTATTTGGGTGAAATTAAGGTGTGTTCATAAATTCTACTTAAAAATACAATACTTTTTATTAGAAGCTATTGAGTAAAAAACATCATAGTGTATTAAATGTGAATTTAATTCACCAACATAAATTTACTAAAGAGGTATTCATCTAAGTGAAATTAAAAGTTTTTTAAAAGACTTATCTTGTAATAAGTTCATTGTAATAAATTCCTCTATTCCCTGAAATTTTTTTGATTCCTGTCTTTAATAGATTTCTACTTAAGCAAGTGTTTTACTATTTTCCAGTAGAAGATCACTTAATAGCGCTAATTATTAAATTTTCTTTTTGGTCTATAGAAAACATTTCATTGTCTAGTTTCCTGTTAAGTAATACCGGTGATATGTGTATATTCACTGAAGTTCTGACATCATATTGGAGCCCATTGGTAGATAATTTCAACCAATCACATGGTGCTTAGTATCCAAGTAGGAAAGAGGAATAGTTCTGGAACAACAGGAAACCTTGTATTTTTAACATCCTGTTATTTTTGCATTTAACTGGTCTGGTGAAGTGCTGCCTTTTTCTCCACAATGAAGGTTAGTTAAAATTTGTCTGTACTTTATTTCAAACTTGCAAGTTTTAGAATTAGACTGAGTATATGCACCATCTAGGAGGCATTAGCTAATACAATTGCTTTATTTAACTAATAAGGAAGCTGAGGCCCAGAGGGTGAGGGAAAAAAAACCCTTAAAAAACCAAACACAAAATTAAGCAAACAAATATATATTACAATATTTATTAACTTTGGATCACTCTTTGGGTCAAATATTTTTTTCCTCTGAAGTAGGATTTGCTTTAAGTTATAGATTTTTAGAACTTTTGAAATTATCTCCTCTTACCAGATGTTATGAAGCCTGTCTGATTTCTGTGGCAGTTCCTATTATAGAGGGGATCTTAATTTCTGCCTCTATAGGATCATACTTGAATTTTAGTATTCATTTTAAAAGCTGCATTACTAAATATGTAGAGTTTCCACAAATAGACCAAATCTCTAAAGATTTTTTTCTTTGTTGCCTTTCATTTTTGCTATTAACTTTTATTAATTCTGAGTAAATGGATACTTTAGAAACTTTTATGTATTAAAATGTAGTACACAGTTAAAATAGCTAGCTTTTACTTTAACTTGCTTTAAGTAGTTTCTCAACTTTTTTTCTTCCTTATTTATCATTGTCATTAAATTATATTTTATATAATTTAGAAAGAAGCCGGAAGGTGTAGTGGGTAGAGTGGACCTTAGAGCCCACTGACCAAGTACTGGTTGTGTAGCATTGGTCAACTTTCTGAGATTGTTAAGTTGTAGGGAAGATTCTGATCTGTATTGGTGAGAGGGAATTTCCTCACATGGGAGTTATTTATATCAGTGGAATTATAGGTCCAGAGTTGTCTTTTCATTAATGCTGGATGCACAAGACCAAAAAGCAAGTGGTTTTTCAGAGCTAAAATACTTAACTAAAATCAGAACTCTTTTCTCCCCTTCCTGCAATTTTGACACATTATTTAAATGAATTTTCCCCCTGGACCTCTTACAAAAGATGTTGTTTAATTTCAATTAAAATTTGAGTGCTTGCAAAGTTCATGGTGCTAAGGGAAGATGAGATGGAGAGGTTTGGAAGATGAAGATTCAGAGCAATGAAAACAAGGGATGTTTCTGTTCTTAGAGTTGTAGCCAGGACACAAATAATAGGTATAGTGTTTTTTATATACATATATACATACATATATATATACATACATATATATATATATGTATATATATAAACACTGATGAGACAATTTATATTGACTATGAAAGTATTACTTAGTATAGACTGTTCAATAAATGGAAATGTTTACTGAGTGCCTGCTAATATTCAGAAGAACATACCTATTAGATTATTCACATTTTTTTCCACAGAGAAATCCTACGTTTAAAAAAAAATCATAGTTTTAATCCTTAAGTAACCTTACTTGTTCCAGTGCAGTATTTTTCTCTATGTTTTGTGCCTTTGAGCGGGATGTTTGATGTTATATTAGATTTTTTTGGACTTTTTTGATAAGCATTGGATTAAGGGTTATATTTCATTCTTATTATGTTTGGACTAAAGTATGGAAATATTTCAGCTCTAAACCTGTGATCCTGTGACTTGATATCTTCTGCATTAGCCAAATGGTGGACTTGATTTTTACCATTTCTAGCACTGACACATTTCCTTGAAGTGACCAACCTCAGTTATTTGTATGTTTTTGGACATTTCTATGTAGGGAAAAATACATCCTCAGACATAATTTTGGTCTAACTTTTAGTATTCGTATTCTGTACAAAAGTTAGAAATACTACTTAGAAGTATGTGTTTATGGAATGGATAATTAGGTAACCCACTTAGAGTGCATCACAAAATGGTGAGGGTACAACTAGGAAGAATTTTTAATATCACTTTTTAATAGATGTACATATCTTTAATACCAGCTGAATCACTCCTTATCACATTTATTTTGTCATAAATTAGCTTACTTATGTAACAATAAGCACCCAAAGCCTCTTGGAAACACTAAGGCACCAGGAGTTCAATTTTCAAATTTTGCTTAGGGATGTATAAGTGCCTTGTTGAATCTCTGCCTCTTGACTACTGAACAGTAGTTTTCCATTCTGAATACCTCTTTTTGTCCTTCTCCTGCCTTTTATATTCATCTGTGAACTCTAGTGGTATAGTGTTTTACCACTGTTAACTCTGGAATGGTCTGCTATTTTACCTCTTGTCCCCTTAAGAGGAAAAGGAGCCTCATCCTCTGACCTATACCTTTTCCCTTGTTGAACTTCTCCAGGCTAGATTCCAGATACTCTTCACTAATCTAACAACAGGAGGAAAACAAAACTTTATTGTTGTTATTGAACATTTATTGAATGCAGTGCAGAGGAACAAGACCTGAGCCTCAGGTTAAAAGACAGCAGAGCATGAGGGATGGTTGCTGATACTTTGGAAATTTGAGCCAGAGCTATGAGGATGGAGCTGGTATTCAAAGAAATGAGGGAGTTCCTATTGGTTCTTGTTTCTCTATTTTTATAACCTTAGATATATCCTTGTGTCATTTGTATAGTTGATCATGTAATTTAGCTTGGAAAAACCTGAAATTTGACTAATTTTACCTTTTATTCCTTCTCCTTTTCAGACATTTGATGCAAATGATCTTTATCAGGGACAGAACTTTAACAAGGTTCTCAGCTCTTTAGTCACTCTAAATAAAGTCACAGCAGGTAAGATTTTGTTCTGCTTCATTGAATTCTAGTTGGGGAGGGGGAAGGAAGAAGGTGACCTGGCATTATTATTTTCAAGAGTGTTTCAGTACAGAGCACTTTTATTTACTGGTAATAGAGAAAAGTAAACATTTTTCGGTTTGTTATTTTAAGATTAAGATTTTAAGATTTAAGATGTCCTTTCTTTACATTTACTTTGACTGATTCCTGTGTTTTATTGTTTTTTATTATTGCGGGGAAATTTCTTCTCTTGAGTTTAGCACATCTTCACTCTGATATCTTAAGATTTCGGTACAGTTTTCTCATCTTAAAAATAGCAGACTTGGTGTCAAAAGATCTAGGGGTTTCTTGAGACATAGATTAACAAGGAACTTTCTCCTGATTTTCTCTTAAAGAGTTTGTGTTGATTTAGCCTGCCCAAATATCTAGTTAGCATTGTGGTACTAATTCAGATTAGTGGGTACAGTGCTTTAATATTTAAGGATCTGAGACTTCCTTCTATCTAATCATTCAGTCAGTAAGCATTTATTTATTTATTTGTTGATTCATTCATTTTTAGCAGTGGGGTTAAGTGACTTGCCCAGGGTCACACAGCTAGTACGTGTCAAGTGTATGGTCTGAGGCTGGATTTGAACTCAGGTTTTCTGCCGGTGCTCTATCCATTGCACCACCTAGCTGCCCCTAGTAAGCATTTATTAAGAGCCTACTGTGTACCAGACATTGTATTATGGGTTGAGGACACAGATACAAAAATAAATAAGTACTAAGTAAAACCATACCTGCTGTCAAGCAGCTTATGTTCTTTTGGCAGATAACAACTACTCACTGTCACCACACTTGTACTGAAGGGCTTTTTACTTAGGACCTGCCAGGGCCTGTTATCCACATATATAGAATATAGTTATTCAGATGGTATCATGACCAAGGAAAGTAGCTTTGGGAATAGTACCCCAGAATACATATGCTTTTTCAGAATCATGCCAGCTATAAGGGTACCTGAAGCACATGATCCCTAACCCCATTTATAGCTAAGTGGAAACATCCTACTCCTATACTTGTGTACTGGGACTGGTGGGACTATCTTTACAACTCTAAGCCTTTAGAAGTGATGAGACATTCTACTCTTGATTTTATTCCTGGAAAATGCCTGTGAATCCTATTTTGAAATTGGCTGTAGGGCTCAAAAAGAAAAGATTCTAGAGGCTGGTTTTATTTACCTTTCAGTCTTAATTTTTGCTTTGTGGGAAATTTAATAGGCTATCAAAATAAGAGATTTAGCAATAGGATGCCTTTGATAGCGTTTGGATATCTAGATTTTTTTGGTCTTTTCTTAACTTCTTCATCCTTCAGCCATAGGGTACTAGGTTCATTTATAAATATGTGTATATGTTATGTCCATATAACACACACGCATGCACTATGAGATTATGACACCAGTTATAGGATTATTAAGAATCCATGTAATGAGAGAGTGAACTAGGGTTATTATTAAGAATGAAAAGGAATACATTTAAAAGATATTGCCAAGGTAAAATAAAAAGAACCTAGCAATTTATTTATTAGGTGTGGATAGATGAGAGAGGGGAGAATAAAAGATAACTAATGTGACAAGCATGGTAAATAATATTTAAGCTGCTGATCCTTACTTCAGGGGTCCCCACAATATGACTCCAACTGATCTTTACATTCCTATATAATCCTATTCCTTGGCCTGTACTTTAAATTCTCATCAAACTCGACTATAAAAATGGAGTAATCAGGATGATGCTTGTGCTTGTTGAGTTTGAAATGATGGTGTGATGGTATGCTTTGGTGAGATCCCAAACTTTTAGCTCCCCTGAGTTGACTGTGGTGAAGCTTCCAGGTGGCCTACCATAGTGTTGGACTCACATGTCCTGTTGGATCGATCATCTGCATCTGCTTTAGTCTTCTTTATCTGATTATGTATGCTAAATTCCTAGTTGGCTAGTGCTGCCACCCACCTCTGGTAGTAGCATCTAACTTGACACTGGTCACCTAATTAAAAAAAAAATTATTTTTTATTATGAACTTAAACACCAGCAAACTTTAATATCACAGAATTCAAAGAAAAACACAAAAAGGATTATGAAACCATAAATTTTTGTGACATGCCAACTTATTTTTTTAAAGTTTATATTAAAGTTAATGTGGTATTTATAAAATTTCCCTGTTTGTTGGGAAGCAAGAGTTTGGCACTCCACCCTTGTTGTTTAGTTGTGTCCAACTCTTTGTGACTCCTCTCTTAGGGTTTTTCTTGGTAAAGATATTGGAATAGTTTGCAGTTTCCTTCTCCAGCTCATTTTACAGATAAGAAACTGAGGCCCACAGGATTAAATGACTTTCCAAGAGTCACATAGCTAGTAAGTATTTGAAGCCAGATTTGAACTCATGAAGATGAGTATTCTTGGTTCCAAGCCCAGTGCTCTCTATCCATTGCTCTATCTAGCTGCCTCTTTAAAAGTATATATTAAATTTAATATGGTAGTTACAAAATTTCCCTGCTTGTGTCTTGTTCTGACCATTTCTTTATTTTTTAGTGTTTGATATTCTTTTTGTATCTCTTTCACTTTCCAGTCTTCACTCTCTTCTTTGGCCCTGTCCCAGAAACTCTTCCTTGTAACAATTAAGTGTTTGTGTGTGACACTGGACAAGTCATTTATAACCTCTTTGAGCCTTAGTTTCTTCTCCTTTAAAATTGGGCTAATAATGCCTGAAGTGTCTTCTTCACAAGATTGTTGTGAGAATCAAACGAGATGATGAATTTGAAGCTTTTTGTAAAATTTCAATGACTATTTTGGCTATTATTATTGAAGGCAGGAGAATGGTAAGATAGTGATTAAGGCATGCATTTCCCTGGTGAATGATTTGTAGAAAAGTAGAGCTAGATGTTGAAAGATCTAAGGAATTTAAGGAACTGAGAGGGCAGGATTTTGGAAGGTTAACATCATTGTAGATATTGAAGCCTCTAAGGTCTGATGTAAGATGAAGGGATCAAGGACAGGTTTGGAAGCTGGGTTCCAAAAACATAGAAAGGTAGGAGAACACCTAGGAGATTTTTAGGTGACAGTGCCAGATTGGTAAAGAAGAGCATTGTTGAGTGAAATAAGCTTCAAAGCTGGAGATTGGTTGCATAGCAGTGGACCTGAAGTGATAACAGATCAAGGAATACACTTCTTCCCAGACTTTCTGATATGGGGGAAGTGGTAAAAAAGAGCAGCTAGACCTGAAAGGGGTATTAAAGATGTAGAGCGCTCAGGGAAAATCCAGGTTTTTATTAATTCAGTGAGGAAGAAAGACTAAGAGAAAGAACTCTAGAATGGAGAGAGGGAGTGAGGCATAGTGGAGAGGGTCAGAAGATGCATAGCTCGTAGCTCTATACCTGAAATGACCTCAGAGACCATTTGCTTCTGAGCCTCTCATTTTACAAATTAGGCATTCGAAACCCAGGGAAGCAACTAGCTCTTTAAAATTATAAGTATTTTAATTGCCAGAGGAAGACTGAGTTTCAAATCTTGTCTCTGTCATCATTTATGAAACCTCGGGTAAATCATTCTCTGGGTCTTAGTTCCTTCATAATGAAGAGGTTTTGCTAGATGGCATAAAAGGATACTTATTTATGATCCTATAATCTTCTAAGTATGGTAAAAATATAAGAAAGGAGCAGGCAGAGGAAGCTAGTGACTAGAGAGGCTTTCTAGAAGTTTTCATTGTAAAGCTCTAAACTCTATAAACAAACATACAGTATTGATATTGACAGATTGGTAATTAAAGGCATAGTTAGGCATCTGTATAGAGATGAAAGTAAAAATAGAAGTAATGCCACTTCCTATATTTTAAATTGTCCAAATTGTTAAGATTGAAATACAGGGTAATAAATTTTGCATGTGTACACATTTCTTATTCATTTATGAAATACATTTAAAAGACACTTAAAGGTTCAAATATTCCTGGAAGTGTTAAAAATTTATGTAACCAGTTTTTTTTTATCTATGATATAGATAGGAAGATTATAGATAGAGAAAATCCATAAATACATTTTTATTCTCACAATTCTACCTTCTCCAAACCTATCAAAGCTGTTATGAAGAAAAACTGAGGAATTTTAATTCCACCTCCGTTACCTTTCCTTCAAGGTGATAGTATATGTATGATAGTATAGTAGTTAGGAAATATGAGAAGAAAGAGGTTTCAGCTGCAAACTATGTCATTTGAGCCAGAATGATCAAGCCCATACTGTAATTTATAAATAAATAATGAAAAATGAGGGGAACTGGTATCAGGTACCTTTTGAGCACATATCACTATCATTTCTACCTTCCTCTAGTAAAAGAATCTCTTTTATATAGTCCTATTGTGATTGTTATTTTGTGATATTTAAGGAATCAGCATGGCTTTGTGCAAAGATTTAGCTTTATTTTTACTTGTAAATTTTTTTTTAAAATAACATTTTGTTTTTCCCCATGTAAAGTAAAATTTTAATATTTAGTTTTTAAAAATTTTGAGTTCCAAATTATCCCTCTCCCTTTCTTATCCCCCCCTTCCTGATAACGGCAAGGAATTTGATATAGGTTATATATGTGCAATAGTATAAAACATATTTTCATGTTAGTCATGTTGTAAAAGAAAACACAGATCCAAAGGAAAAAAATGAAAAAAAAAACCGTGAAAAATAGTATGCTTCAATCTGTATTCAGCTTCCATCAGTTCTTTCTCTGGAGGTGGATAGCATTTTTTTTTATCATAAGTCCTTTGGAATTGTCTTGGATTATTGTATTGCTGAGAATAGCGAAGCCATTCACAATTGATCATCTTAAAATTTTTCTGTTACTGTGTACAATGTTCTCCTGGATCTGGTCACTTCACTTCGTGTCAGTTGATGTCTTTCCAGGTTTTTCTAAAATTAGCCAGCTCATCATTTCTTATACACAGTAGTATTTCAGTACAATCTTATACCACAACTTGTTCAGCCCTTCCCCAGT